TCTTTCTCTTTTAGCAATAACATTTTTTCTCATTTTATGAAAACAAAAGGCACATGGGCCAAAACACTCGTCCGAATCACCTATGCCCTGATGTTCTTCAGAAGAATTTGATAAAATTCTCATGAAAAAAATGGCTCCATATTGCTGCCCTAATTTAGACTTAAAGAGTAATGATTTAATCTACTCTACCTGAGGATACGTACATATTAATATACTAACACTTCATGGCCCTGCTGTTCTTGAGAAAAAAAGATTTTTAAAGTTTTTTTTCCCCATTGGGGGGGGGGGGGGGTCATGATTTGAACAAACTTGAGTCAACTTTGAAAGAATTTCTCATATAACATGAATTTCATCTTTTTCTGGTCCAGTCTCTCTTGGAGAAAATGTTTTTTTTTTTAAGATACCATCAAAGTTTCACATATTCTAATTATCTCCCCCTTGACAGCAACTGTGCTGCTCTTTTGAAAAATCTTGAATTCTTTTTAAACAAAGCAGATTTGATTGAAATTGGTTTAGTGGTTCCGGAGAAGAAGTCAAAAGTGTTAAAAGTTTGCAGACGGACGCCGCAAAATATGATCAGAAAAGCTCACCTGGGCTTTCAGCATTTTGTGAAACAAATAAACAATCAGAGCAGATAAATTTGTAATGATACATTAAAGTTAAAAAAAAAAAAAATTAATTAAATCGCAAATAATGAAAAGAATATATCTTAAACATCCTCAATTGCTATTTTCTCAATTCGTATTTTATCAAAGTACATAGATGACACCGAAAAAATAAAAACAGAAGTAAAATGTTTTACCTTTAAAAAATTGATTCCTATATAAATTTTTACTTTAAAAAGTCCAATGTTTTACTGAACGGTCATAATAAATCGATGTTTGACCGCACAGTGAGATATTGGACGGCTTACGTCACACAGTGGGTGGTATCAGCTAAATATTATTTCCATTCATGATGGCAGAATTGGCCGAGTTTTACTGCAGTGCGGGTAAAGATTTACATCATTGAATCCAGCACAAGATACAAGTATGTACAAAAAATATATAAATAAATAAAAGGTATAACAAAACATTTATTGACTGTGTTCTCGGACAAAATGCGTTTTGTCGACCCCTCGAACCAAACAGTTTGCCTTCGGCTTAACGGCCTTAGCAAACAGTTTGGTTCTTGGATTCGACAAAACGCATATTGCCCTCGAACCCAGTCAATAAATGTATATTAATTAACACATATAAAGAAAAACCACATAATTTTGAAATTCATGAAACAGTGTTTGAAAATTTGCAGAAATTTAAAATTTCAATTAATTTGAGTTACAAAGTGTAGTACATTGTCATTATATTTTTGAAAAGTTTTTAACAATTTTATCTTTATATGAAGAAGTTGCCAAAACTATATTTTCTACGTTTGTATTATATGAATGGGTGTGTCTTAACAATAAGAATTTATGGAATAGGTTAACTCCAAGAAACAATTCTTTAAAGAAAAGTAAGATTCAATTCTCAACGGACAACAAGGCAGAAATCAATGGCGGAACTGAAATATTTCACATTTTCTTGCTATATTTTTTGTTAAATTTAATACATTCCAAAACCGTGGATACTTATAAAATTATAAATACTATTAAATATAATGATTAATTGATTGTTGTCTCATCCTAGTCGGCAATATTTCATCCATAATGAGCATACATATCGGGATTTTGTTTTACATCTGCATATAGGTACTGCATTTAAACTTGAGTCAGAATTGTAAATTTTATGGTATTGGAGGGATATATGTACCCTTGTCAATGGCATTTAAACAATTTACCAGTAACTTTTATCTGATTACATAACAGTGGTTGTAACGAGCGTCAAACCAAATAATAGTTAAGAGAAATCCTCTTAGTCATCATCAGTATCGGGAATGAGACTTGTATATAATGTTGACACACCCTGTATTCATAATCAGTCTTTGTAAAGAATATCTTGAAACATCAGGGGAAAAAAACCTTAAGAAGTACTTTGCTGAAAATTGATACAATACCTCAATTGTAGTTTCTAAACTTCACAAATACGAATATCTATTTCAAGATCTAACTGAGCTTATTTGAATGGTCGTGTGAGACCTTGGGTGACTGTTTAAAATCGAATAATCTTCTGGTTGAATTTGGTTGAATAATTGATAAAAATAATAAAAGTTTAGTGTACATACCATGTAGTTGCATCTATAACATAAAAGCTATTCGAAATTTCGGTTTACCTTAGTGAAACTGGAAATTTAAAAAGAAATTATTAAAGGGTTGAAAATGACACAATTTTTCAAAAAATCTAATTTTTAAAAGCATCTTCCTTCTATGACTAAACCATTATTAACAGTTTCATGATTAGAAGCTGTAAATACGTCTTTATGGGTGTTACGTTTCTTTAAATTGTTTGTTCTCGCTGTATAATCAAAGAAACATGTCTTTCAAAAGTAAGTAAACTTTAAAATAATGTTAAGGACCCTCTATACACTGACGAAAAATGATTTTTGAACTTTGAGAAAATTATATAGTGTAAAGGAGGATATTTTGAAATTAACTAATTCATTTTTAATATAGGGAGCGTCCCTTTTTTATCCAGGGAAAATCTTCAAAGATAATGACGTAATTATAAATAAAATTCGCTTTTGCTTACTCAAATGGAGAAAATACATGCAAATAAAGTTTTCAACTACTCTATCTTGATCTAATAGTAATGTTTAGAATACTTGGATTTATTTTAAATTATGTCATACAGTGCAGATTACAATTTATTCTATTTCTATATCAAATGATGGGTCAGTCTAACTACACAAAAGTACCCTGAAATTATTGTGGAGTGTGGAGAGGGTCCTTAAATGTTAGAATTTTTACTAATAGTCTTCATTTAATGTATAGTCGCAGTCCATTCCATAAACTATGAACTTATTTTTCTATTGTCTGCATTTTCATCCATGAACACTTTAAGAATATAATTACAAAATATGATAAATATAAGTGAAACATAACAATGCTGACTCATGACTGTGCTCATTTGTCCAAATATATGGATATGTTTGATTTATAAATACTTGTGTCATGAACTATACGTACTTTGTCCATTGCTTTCATGGCACCTGATCCCACCTCTGATACTTTTAGAGATCCGTGTTTGCTCTGCTCCAGATTTGTATTGTTTCAATAGGCCTCTGAGCTTGATTACTATTTGTTATCTCCATATCTCATAAAAGAGACAACAGTCTGACAAACCTGTTTTATATTAAGATGTTTTACTAGAAAAAGACGTTAATTGTAACCTAACAATAAAACTCTATGATAAATGTGTTGACTTCAACTTTCCTATCGTCAACTAGGTTGGCCAGTTGATTCGTTAAGCAAGAGCATGCTCTATGTACAAACAATTTCTCAAACGAGGCAAGCTCTTGTCAAACAAGTTGTTGAAACAAGGATATCAAAAGTCTCGTTAAAAGGCAACATTTCACAAATTCTATGGTCGATACAATGACCTAATCAGCAAATACAATCTTTCATTGAGTCGAATGCTGACTGAGGGTTTTCATACAAATTGTTAGGTCATGAATTGTATACGGATTTTGTTCCCTTTGCCGATTATGCCAATAAGCACACGGCTGACCGGTCGACAGGGGATGCTTACACATATATGGCACATGATCCCACCTCTGATGTATTTTAGAGGTCCGTGTTTGCTCTGCTCCCGATTTGTATTGTTTCAATGGACTTTTAAGCTTGATTATATTACTGTTTGTTATCTCCATATTTCATTGATTTCACTTCCTTTTAGGTACAAGTATTTTGGAACTATTATTGCATCTTTGTCACTTACATAATTCCTATCTATCAATCACAATATCTTTGCATTTTAAAATCCCCTATTTACAGCTAAAATACTTATGTGTATGGTGGGCCATGTCAGTTAGATGTGTATTAGGCTTTCCGATTTTTTATATCTGTCCTATGACTCCTCAGGGATTCTATGAAATGTTATTATTATTATTTTTCTCTATTATTGCCAGCTCTCTGATTGGCTCAAACTAAATCACGTGATCAAGTATAAAAAGTCTTATAAACTGGGTGTTTCTATTTTAAGCTTCTAAACAAATTTATAAACCTGCTATTTCTAAAATTGGAAACATTCTTCTGTGAAGCGCTGACTTCATAATAGTTTTTATAGACTGGATGTTTCTTAAAATAGATACTGCAGATGCTCTTAATTGTGACGACATAATGCGAATGACAGAACAATGCCTTATATGAGAAAGTATTGAGCATTAGAAACATGGGATTTAAGACATTTCTTATTAACTGATAAAAGAAAATAATAAAACAATTGTAGCCTTTTGATTCGGCGTGCAAAAATGTATAATTAGTATGCACCAAAAAAATTGATTTTCGCTTAATTAAACTTGATTATATTTCAAATACACAAGTCATGTAATAATTTTTATGACTGAGGTTTGCAAACTTGATAATAAGTTTTAAATTGGCACTGTTTAATTTAAATAAAAGAGGTCTTATACATGCACCAAACATTCTTAGATGACTTTAAAATCAGCAAAAAGTGTGAAGCCATGCACGTTTCAATTATCTTAAATGTATGATAAATAGAATACTACATACTGAAATCCATATCATATGTCACATCAACCCATCGGGTTCCATATAAGCCATTTGGATTGAAATAGGGCTCTTCGGGCTGATATAACATGAAATGGATTTTTGTCTACAATATTCTCTATATAGATGCTTATATTGTCGCATAATTTTCTTGCACAATATCATGGTCTTTTTATAGTTACTTGATAAGTATTTAGAAGCATGAAAAAATCGTTTATTCATGCACAATATGATGGCTTTTTTCGGTTATTTGATTAGTATTAAGAGGTTTGAAAAACATTATTTATGCATATTATATATATATTTTTTTTAATTGTAATGCATCAGATTTTGTAAAGCTACTTTGACCAAAGAATAATCAGTTGGCTTTTGTTTCAGGCCACTTCACAAGTCCTCCTAATGAAGTATAAAGGACATCCAGCCATGCATGGAAAATGTTTGTCACTGAAGACTGGCTGATATTAAATCTGTAGGCCAAGTCGTTCATTGCAAGATTCCTCCTAAGTTTCACTAGGGTCAGCAACAGTTCATCTTCTTTTGGTAACTTTGTCCTTCTCCTCTTCACTTTTGTAGATGTTACACTCAACACTGCACTTAAAGTTTCAAAATTAGGGAATCCAGTGTAGAACTTGGTGCGTCGATCATCCCCTTTCAGATTCTGGAAACTAAGTGTCTTCTTCTCAAAATCATCCCGCTGAAATTTGTTTTCTTCTTCCAGTCTTTGTAATGAGGCCTTTAACGCTTCAGTGTCTTTGACGTGTTCTTCACACTTGCGCTGTAACAGTTCCTGCTCTTGTTTCAACTCGGCACAAGTTTCAGCATTCTTGTCGCACACACTCTTCAGGTACTGGTTTGTCACAATCAGACCTGTCATGACTGGCAGTGAGATTTCAGTTTGTACGGCCATTTCGCAGATAGATTGCACTGGTGTTTGTGTGGAGGTTCCAGTTGTGACACTTAATGGTTCTTCCTGGCTCAAGGAGAGTAGAACTTGGGCGGATTCGTTTTTAGCAATGTTCTCTTTTCTTTCAAGAAGCCTCTGGTGACGTTGAACTTTTTCTTGCAGAATGCTTTCAGGAACAGCTCGGTGAGAAAAGATTGTTGGCACAAAATCTGGATTTGTGGGATCCCTTGAAGGCTGGCCTATAACCAAAATATTTACTGTATTAATTGCTGTACAATAACTTTTTTGTGAAATTATGTTTTAACAGTTTAAAAAATGCACATTCAGGGATTTTAAATTATAGGTACATTAATCACCGAAATATTGACTTTATGGAATATAATACGTATCATGGATGGGCTTGAAAACATTATCTAAATTCGATTTCTTATTGTTTATACTGTCTTTGATAAAAATACTGAGGAAATTCGGTCTTTAATTCGATTTGTAAGGAAATTCGGTCGCCAATGTAATCTAAACACACTTTTATTTTTATCACTCATACCACTTGTTTTAAGGATTATAAATATCCAAAAAAATACATTAATATATTTAAAAAGTTTTATTTACCGTTTATAAAATGTTTGGAACAGATCCTTGAATGTTCGGTGGGCTCCCAGTCGTCTCTCTTGATGGCTGACACCCACTTTGCTCTCAGGTGAGGGTCCCTAGGTATTCTAAAAAACTTGAGATCTACGCCTGGAATCTGTCTGTTTTTGCAGCCATATGCACAGCAATGGGCAGGCATCGTGAAGATTTTAAACTAGAGAATCCAACCACGATATCGATGACACATGTCATACAGGTAAACAATCAAAATGGCGCATATACAGGTAAACTACTATAATAAGATTAGCGTGGCCTTGCCCTACGCAGCACTGCACATGCGTACGCGCACGGAATTATGGGAAGGATTTTTTTTTTAAATTAAAGGCGCGTAATAAGGTCTATATGTAAGTATCGGGAATTTTTTTTTCTCTTTTTTTTTCTTTCTTTTCTTTTGTAAAAATATACATTTTTCATGTATTGATATAAAAATACCATGACTACAATTAGCAGTTAACATAATTAACATCAGAGAAAAATCGTTAAACATCTTAAATACGCTTTATCAGTAAATGTTACGAAAATTTAAGAGAATACAATACTGTACGACTTACTATTTTGCTTAGTTACTCCGATAATTAGTTCGTTCAATTATTTAAATCGCGCTTAATTTTTTTCTTTTAATTACAGTTTTAAAAAAAAACAAGCTAAATCAAGATTTACATTATTTTTTTGAAAAAGATTAATCAAATTAATACCATAATGTAGTAGTTTACGATTAGACATACATGTACATGGACATTTATGCTGTACATTCTATTTTTTTTTATTTTCAATTAAGAAGATCAATTATTTGATGTTGATCTGGATTTATACGAAAATGTACAATAGAATTATAAAAATAAAATAATTGAATCAAAGCACATACATAAACATAATCTAGTACAGTATCTTGAGATAATGAGATGCTATAATTTGTCAAGAACCATTTTTTTAGTAACAATTGTAATAACCATTGCTTTCTTTTTTTCTTTTCTTTTATACATTAGGGTATGTTTTGTCTGATAAATTTACGCAATGTATATAAATGGATTTTGAGATGAAAAAAAAAATCTGTAAATATAATATGCTACCTGGATATTTAAAATATATTAATTTAATTTTTTTTGATAATGTTAAAAATAGTTTCACACTGTACATTAACACGCTTTGCTTGTACAATGTTTTATTTACATCGAATGACAAATTGGCATGCTGATTGGTCGACCCGCTGATTGGTTAACACGTTTTTATCGCTAATCCTGATTGACAGCTCTGTTACGCAACACCGAACGCGCGTTCGCTCTCTGGGTTCGCTACTGAATTTGGGGTTCGCTTTCGGCGTTCGCCTCTAGGTCCGCTGCGGGTTCGCTCGGGGTCCGCTGGGGGTTCGCTCCGGGTCCGCTGCGGGTTCGATTCGGGTTCGCTCGGGGTCAGCTATAGCGAACCCCAAGCGAACCCGAAGTGAACCCAGAAAGCGAACACGGGGTGCGCTTTCTGTTAGGTTGTGTCTGGTCGGTACTGTATATGGGATGAAAATTTCAAACTTATTTGGTAATACTCAGAGAAAAACTGTCAGATATTTTTTGATTGACTATTTTGAGACCTTGGGCTACGGACTATACATATGGTATTTTCATTTAATGAGAGACCATAGAAAAATAGTTGCTTTTTTCAGTAAATATTTGTTAAAACTAATACCTTGGAGTTCACACGTGTTTAATAAATCCTTTCATTTGGATATTAAATCAATTTATACAAAATCCTGTGAAATTTAACAAAATAAAACAAAAACGTTATATAAATTCACAATAAGAGTAAAATATAAATAGTCAGAACAAAATAATACATGTCAGAATTACATGTAATTGGTGTTTTGATAATAAAATATAGTTTAAGACCATCTGAAGACCAAGAATGAGCTTTAATTTAGCATCTAAGAAGGATGAATTTCATGTGAGCACGGTGGCTACGGACTATACCAGTAAACATCTCTATTGTGGACAATCAACTTAAAGAAATTATAATTGTTTAATAAAATTTTGGGCATTTTTTTTTATTAATTGGTTTTCTATAACAGTTCACACCACTTAGTTTGAGTATTTATAATACCATACTTAAAAATCAATTGTCTAATGTACTGTGTACTTTCATTGCCAAATGAAATTCCAATTCAATTAATTAAAGCATAATTGGTGTTCAAACTATAATGAATAAAAGCAACAGGAGCTGAAATTAAATCAAGGCATGATTTGTGTGTGTGTGTGAGGGTGTGTGTGAGGGTGTGTGTGTGTGTGTGTGTGCGGGGGGAGGGGGGGGGGTTACAGACTATATTGCTTCATTTTTTTTTTTCAATTTAATGTAATGCATATATCTCAAGATGGTCATTCAAAAGGTGTATCAGTATATAATTTATCATAATCATATGATTTAATTTAAAAAAAGCAAAACATGATTGACCATTTGAAGTAAAAAAAAAACTTAATTGTACAATATTTACCCGTAAAGAATCAAATGAATGCTTTTTTTAAAATTAACAATTCAGTGACAATTAGATTGGGTGACGCAATTATAAGAGTAAGTAGGCCTCACTTTGTACTAAATTGCAAAGTAAGGAGTTGATCCTTATGTTTTGGGATCAAATCCCACAAATCCGACAATGGGATGTTAAGATTGGTCGATGAGAACTAATAAACCATTGAATCCCCATTTTGCAGTAGATTCAAGTAGGAAAAAAATCTCTTGCTAATACAGAAGTACGGTTATATGGTCTGTAAATTTGCTAAATTTATTTGTACAGTCTGTAGCCCTTTTGTAAGTAGGATTTGTGTCTCTAAATATTCTTTTAAAAATATTCCAATGCTAATTATTGTAAATGGATTGATAATATGTATCACAAGAAGGAAAACTTTATCATGTATATTTAGAAATATGTTGTGACCACAAACATAACTAGACAGACTACAAAAGCAAGCCTTTAGTTGAAAAATGTTAATTTTCAGATATTTTATTTTTAATTACAGTGGCATTTAAAAACATTGCATTTGTTCGAATAAACATATTTTTGTATTGTAGTTATTGTATCAATAATGTATATGACTTTTTCTGATTTATTGGAGGAAAAATCCGCAGTATATCTTTAATCTCGGCAATAACTGTTGTAGAATTCACAATAATGTCCTGCAAAAGTTAGAATTTGAGCATCATATAAAGTTTTTTAAAGATATATTAGAGAATTATAAAAATCAAAATTACGAAATAGTATTTTTTAAAAGAAATTTAATATATGCATCACAATCAAACAAACTAGATCCAAAAATTTAATTTTATTCATACAGCCTTTTTTTGTATCAGTTGTCCTTAAATACGTTTTATCTCGTTTAATGTCACACAGAAAAGAATTTATAGAAAAATATTATTTTTTAAAAAATCAAGGAAAATCTCTTTTATGAATTAAGAGTAAAATGGATAAAAATATTTTCCAGAAATATATGGTGATAGCAATTGCCGCGTATTATGTGGTTTTTTCGATGAATGTTGGAGTGGCACATGTTGCGACTTCAGATATGGTTGGCGGGGTTTATGCTGTACATGTAAGTATAAAATGTTTAAAAATTAATCTCAATGCCAAATGTCAAGTTCATTAGTTGAATAAAAACGTTATTTTTTTCAATGCTTTAATAGCTTTATTTCATTTTATTTCCTAACTTTTATATCGTATTGTTTTTATGGATAGGATATTGATTCATAAATCTAAATATTTTACGCAAAATCATTCTAATAGAAATATATATGTACTAAATGTGATAGTTTATATTATATTTTAGATGATTAGCACTACTGAGAAGATGTAATGCAAATGGAAGATGTAAGAAGACACAAAAAGAACTTATTTCTTAATTGTGCATTCATATATCCCTTTTGCTATTGAAGAAATAAAATTTCTTGAGCAGACAAAATTCTGAAACTATAATCAGAAGTTTGTTCTGTCAGTCTAATACATACTACTGTTATGGCTGAATTTGTAAAGCAGATTCATAAGAAATGAATGATCGTGTGGTTGAATCTCGGCATTGTGGGACAGGAGTTCACCTACAATACAGAATGTTATTAGATTTTTCATTATTCTTCAGTCATAGAATAATGTATAGACAATTATTCTAGTTGCTGTGTTTTAACAATCATTTTATTTTGTTGTGATACAAGCTTTTTAATCAAAGTTGCCAATCACTATAGTTATCAATGTCATTTCCATAGAATTCTAGTGCAACCCAATAAACAGTTGTCTTTCAAGTTAATTAAACGGATGAAGACTTTAATCCCAAAACTTTTTATTTTTTACACCCAAAATAAACACACACACAATCATTTACTGGTATATCTTTGAAAAGTATATTTTTTTAAACCACAAAAGAAATTAATTCATACTTAAATATACTCATCAATAAATTATAAGTAAGCTGTGCAGAGAAACAAGACAGAAAAAAAGGCTTAGAAGTATTTTGAAGTTTTGATTTTATTGTAAGATTATGCTTAATGTTATTGAAAAATAATTTAACTGTAGTTGTCATGTTTTGCAATAGATTTGCTTTACATGCAAGTACCTGTTATTGAAAAACTTTTTTAATTATGAATTACACTTAGTTATTTTTTATTTTTTCAAACTACCATATCCAGATTTTAGCAACTTTTGATAGAGGGAATTTTAAACCTAATAGATAATTCACATGCAGAGGAAAGCAAAAGATGTTAAGTGAATGCCTTGAACAGCTATACTTAAACGTGTACATAAAACTTTTTGATTCTGATTCTTGGTCTAACAAACATGTACATATAAAAAACCTTTAAGGATTAAAATTATTTGTCATCTTATTCCTTGATAGAGAGTAATGAAAAAATTCCGTCAATATAGAAATTTATTCCAACAGTTTCGAAACTTCATAAGAAGAGCTTATATGCGATATTAAGGTGTCCATCGTCTAGCTGTCTGTCTGTCCGTCTGTCTGTAAACAATTTTTCAAAATGCTTCTCCTCCTACAGTTTTAGTCTGATTTCAATATAACTTGGTACAAAAGTAGACTACATTAAGATACATAACTTAATTGATCCTTTTTTAATTTTGTTAAGCGGTGTTGCCATGGTTACTAAAAGTAGAATTTTCTGGGAAGTTCCTTTGAAACAATCCTTCTACAGTTTTGGTTTGATTTCAATATAACTTTGCACACTAGTAGACTACACAAAGACACTTAACTTAGTGCATCGGTTTCTGATTTTGATGAACGATGTTGCCATGGTTACTAAAAACAGAAATTTCTGTGAATTGTTTTGAAACGCTACTCCTCCTACAGTTTGGGTTTGATTTCAATATAACTTGGCACACAAGTAGACAACACTAAGATACATTATTCAGTGCATCAGTTTTTGATTTTGTTGAACAGCGTTGGCATGGTTACTAAAAATAGAAATTTCTGTGAAATTCCTTTAAAATGCTAATACTCCTATAGTTTTGGTCCGATTTCAATATAACTTGGCACACAATTAGACTACCCTAAGAGACATAATTTCTGATTTTGATGAAAAGTTACTAAATATACAAATTTCTCTGCAATTCAAAATTTCAATTTTTCAAAAAAATTCAAAATGCTGCTCCTTCTCTAATTTTGCTTTAATTTCAATGTAACTTGGCAAGCAAATAGATTACACTGAGATATATAATTTCTTTTTCAGTTGTTTTGATTTGATGAATAACGTTGCCATGGTTACTAAAAAAGAATTCTGTAAAAATCTTTTAAAAGGTTACTCTTTCTACAGTTCTAGTATGATTGCAATAATCTTGCTACAAAAAGAAACTAAACTAAGGATCATTACTCTATTTATTGCTGTTGCAAAGTTTCAAGTCCAAGTGCTACTTTTCCTTTGGAATAAGTACAAACCAGTAGAGCTACAGTCTCATCAGTGACTTCTGGTTTAACATTCTATTAATAATTATCTGAATAAACAGTTAAAATTTAGGGAAAAAAATCATACATGGCGGGGATGTTTTAGTATTGGAATCATAACTTCATAGGACAATTTATGAGCATTGCGGTCAATAAAACCCTTATTTTGCATAATGTTTCCCTAAAATATAAAAATACTAGTACATGTACAATACAAAGCCATAATAAAACTTTGAAAGGTTTTTAATAACAAAATTAAACAGTCAGGCAAGTCTGCAAGTATTTCAACAAGTTCCACGACACACAGAACAACTAACAGTACACTCAAGTCCATATTTCTATAGAACCACGAACGACTGTAGAAGCTTGATTTTCATTGACAAAGTATCATTTTAATGGAAGATACCGGAGCAGTAGACATGGTTGCCTAAACAATGTATTGTTTATCATAAAGGCAATGATCGTACATCAGCAATAAGATTTACAGAAGTCTTTGCTGGATATATTTCTTTGTTACCTTCCATTGGATAATTGGTGAGTAGCTAAATTGAACTGGATATCAGAATGTAGATTGATTTGTATTTACATGAATTGCTTTTAGTGCTATTTTCTGAGAGGCTTCCTTATATGTAAGGAATTAATGTACTTGGTAAGATCCAGTGCACGGTGTCTGTCACATATTATCATCCCTCTTCTTTGTTGCAGCAATATTCCTTGAATTCCTTTTTTCTAATGTGTATCACAGACGGTCTATAATTTTTAGTAAAACCACTATGCTCTTGTCTATGTCTAAAACTTGATTTCATCAGGTCTAAGTAGAGAAAGTTATTTGGAAGTCCGAGTTGTATATTTTGTAAATGTGGAATCAAATGTGTTGAATGCTCAGTAGCTTACAACAATATAAAGAAAAACAACAATATATCATGCAAAATGGACGTTGCTTACAACCAAAAGTTCAACTGAGGAGATACAGTTGTATATCTACATTGTTTTCCTGGCTTTTGAATTTGAATATTAAAACTTCATGAATTTTTAGAATTTGTTACTTAAGAGCCATTCTCTGTAACGACTTGAACTTTTATATAGAAGCTGTGGCACGCGTAGTCTCAGAATTTCTCCAAACTCTCTATGATAAAAGTCTTTGATACCGTAAACTCAAATCAGGCAGAAATTGGTTGCTACGTGTCATGGTTACCATGGCAACATGTCCTAAAGTTTGAAAAATGGCATTTTTCAACATCTTCAGAGTCCCACAGTTAACGTTTGCAGCAAAGCAAACAAGTGGCAATGATTGTTTCTGAAAGTTGAAGGCCTGATGTCTTAAATGCATGATAAACATGATTGGTAAATCAACTACTACATACGTTACTATGGAAACAAAGTATTCAAAAGTAATAATTTTGCTCATATAATTTTATAAAGTCATACACTTAAGAATAAAAAAAAAATATAGGTTGAAATGCAAGCAAATAATAGACAAAAGATCCTTGTAACATATACCAAGGAAGAAATATGATATTTCTTATAGGGTGGCAATGGTTGCCATGGTTTTAATACCAAGAAAGGATTTTAAATTTACTCTCTTAGTGATTAAATTTAATCCTATCTTTTTAAAAAGCATATTTCTATATAACAAATGATCAATTTTTAAAGATGTTTATGTGACCCTAATTCTCACATTTCAAAAAATTCAAATTCAATTCTTTAAATAGAGCGTTGCTATGGAAATAAGCCGAAAAAATCTGCATAAAAATCTGAAAAATATTCTGTTTCCTTGGATACGTACCCTTTTATGTAGATTCCCAAAACTTTTATGATTGGTAAATATGAACAACTAACCTGACTTTCAATTTTGACTGCCACCCAATCTCTAACTGGATGCAAAAAGCTGGCACATAGGGTTTAATATTGATATAAAATTAACAAAATCGGACATTTTCCCTTCTTGGTTACCATAGCAACAGTGTTGTATTTTTCAACAAACGTTATCAATATATGATATTCAACTTTAGTTTTACCAGATAAGTACTATTCAAGGTGAGTCAAATAATATGTTTCTTGAATAAAAGGTAAGTAAATTCCTAAGGCAGCAAAATAATATCACTTTAAACTACTGGTACATTGTTTCCATGGTTACACTGCAAAGTAACAATTAATCCCATTTTTTCTTATGTTGTTGGTGTTGCAAGGTCCTAAGGATGTATATGTGCCAGTCATGAAATTTATGATTTTTCCTGAAGATAGTAGCATTAACCCAATCTTAGCAACACATTTTGGATGGTAACACTGTGTTACCATTGCAACCATAAAAGTTATTTTTAGAATAATATTGCCAATACCTAATTACTTAAGGTCAAATATTTTTATTGTTTTTTTTTAGGTTGTTGATTGAGTTTGATCATTTAACACCTATCATTAGTGAATATTGAGCGTTTTTCTGCATTTTTCAGCATCTAGAATGTATTCCAAATGTACCCATGGTTACCACTTACTTAGAGATAAATTCTAAATAGTTTCTTTATAGCATAAGTGGCAACAAGGTGTCAGGTTTTGGGGAGAATGGTTTGTTTGTTATTCTTATTCTTTATTAAGGCTTAATAAATATTCAAAGTAGCTGAAAATCTCAATTTTTCCAACTTTTCTGGCTGTTACCATGGCAACCAAGACACATAGCAACGAAATTTTATTTGATATATGTTTCTGGTGTCAAGTTGTAATAATGGGCAAAGTTTCATCAAAATCGGCGACCATGCGTGGCAAAGAAGTTTAAGTGGTTACAGAGAATCGCTATTAAGTACAAATTTGCATCGATCGATCGATCGAGAGAGAGAGAGAGAGAGAGAGAGAGAGAGAGATATTCTTAATCCTATGCAAAAGGGTTTTATTGCTATGACTTAAACTATAGAAGGAGATCTAATGACAAATTGTACCCTACCAGACCTTGAAGTTCCCTGATGGAACAAGGGGGGGGGGGGTTACCTCTGAAAATACAGTTACCATAACAAAAGTGTTACAGACGGACAAATGGACTAGTTAATAGCTTATCTTTGGAAGTATTTTTTTTTAATTAAGTTTAACTGACAAGTGCTACTTTTTTACGTGTCTGTCT